TGATCCATCATTCAGGGTTGCGTTTCTCGAATGTTCCAGTACTACCGGAACATTCGAGCCCGATGCAACATTCCTAGATCTTAATTGAGGGAATAATAGTGCAGTCTCAGTCTAGGTAATCATATGATTTCGAGTGCTATTTGGAATAAATGAGCACGAGTAAATGTTTTGAAAGACTAAAATAATTTCACGAGCTCGAAGGGCGAATGCAATTTGTGGTCTTTGAAAAAGTTTAAACGTGCTTATTTCTTCCAAATTGCACAAGAAAAAGCATGTGATTACCTATTAATAATATATATGAAAAAATACGTGATAGCTTATCATAATTATGCAGAAGCAAAGCGCGCGCATCAAGTGCAAAAATGATTTTTTCACTGCAAGTGACATTGTGCGTTCGGTCAAAACAACCGCGAACGATAAGAACAATAATATACAACGATATTTTCACATCTTTAAGGCGCAAAAAAGTTCAAAATCCGGATGAACAGTTGAAGGAATTGTTCGGTCTGGTTTGCTACTTCTTTGCACTGAATTAACCCTTTTCTGCATTGAATTACCTAACAACTTCATTCATCTTAACCAATCAGAACAGAGTAATATTTTCATGTATCTTATTAGCTCAAAAACTAGTTTATTTTACCTTATTCCCCGATATTTTCTTTGTTTAAGTTCAAAATTTTGAAGGAAAAATCTCGATTTTTCGGGTCCGTAAAGTTACCGGAGCTCTCGAGGAAAAGAGGCCCAAGGCGACACCAGACTAGTGTCGTATTTATCGAACACCAAATCATAACAATCAGCTTGAACTTTCTCATCATATAGGAACATTTAGCGGCTCGCGCTTTATATATCAAGCCACTGACCGAATCTTTGCATAACGCCCTTGAAGAAGTTTACCAGGACAAGGCAAAAGATCAGATCAAAATCATTGACGCCGGAGCTGGAACGGGACTTATAGGAGTTGAGCTCAAGAAACTCGGATACACCAACCTGTGCGCTTTGGACATCTCGGCTGAGATGTTAAAGGAAGCAAAGAAGAAAGAGGTCTATACTGAGTTCATCTGCACGTCTTTGAACGGGCAGCCGATACCTCAGATTAAATCAGGGCAATTCGATGCTTTGATTTGTGGTGGGGCGCTCAGTACAGGGCGTATCGGCTCATCTGCTTTCGTGGAGATGATAAGAATGGTTCAAACTGGTGGGTCTTTCGTAGGAGTTTACCGAGGCACAGATATAATTGACTCACGGATGTCCGCGGGGAGTCTGTTTTGTGGCTAATTGTTGGACTTGACAAAAAAACAATCAGTTGGTCGCGGTTCTAAAGCATCTGTGGTTGAAGAAATTTGCTCACAATGTTTTGAATCTTTCAAACGCTGTTGAAAAAACAACTACAACAAAAACGGACACAAGCCTTTAAGCATCATACGTTGATAAACATTTGAAAAAATAATAATGTTTTTTAACAAAATTGAAAAAAAGGATTGTAAAAAATGAAGAACGTGTAAAATCGTCTGGCAATTTTTTTGCTTGCTTATTTTTGTTTTTTTGAAAACTCAAACCGTGAGATAGATCAGGTAGTGAAGACTCACCTAACACCCTTCTTGATAAAGTCCCTTAACATCTGGCATCTGACCCGTATATCTTCTTCTGGGGTCAAATCTTCTCTC